TCGCCTCTCTCTCTCTCTCTCTCTCTCTGCGATCGCCTCTCTCTCTCTCTCTCTCTCTCTCTCTCTCTCGTGGTGGACAACGTGGCCTTCGAAAGCGACTCTCTCTCCCTCTCTCTCTCGTCGTGAAGATAGTTGAATCTGCCCGACACCTGCCAGACAACACGTTCGGCACGGCACGAAACAAATCCGCAGCAAAAAGAGACCCTATTCATAAAGCCGCGCCAACACCAACTGTACCAAGCGCCCCCCTAAAAAAAAGGTGCGAACACGCGGGCGCGCCCACCCCGAACCCCCCAAAAAAACGTCCAAAACGGGGCACTACATCTGTCCCATCCAACCTATGGGCGGGCCTTGTTTTTCCTGGGCCCAGGGGAAGCATCTTACGGGGCCCGCTTGTTGATATAGAATTAGAATATATAGATAGATACACGGTTACAAGGCCGAACGTTCAGGGGGGGCGGGCTGAAGTTCGGGCGTTCGGAGTCCGAACCTGAAGGGGTTCGGCCCCTGCCAAAATTATTTCTGAGGCCTAAAAAGTATTTGTTTTTGTTGATTTTTTTTTGTGAGTTCTGTATGACATGCGCTACATGCATATTAAATTTCAAGGCATTTGGCCAAGCCAAAAAGAAATGAAAAATTGCCAAAACTCAGTTTGTTTGGTTTTTTCACTTTTCACTTATTTTTATTTTTATTTTGGTGCCTCAAATATTTTATTATTTTTTAGAACTTTTTTGGCGAGCTGTATTTTATGTGAAATACACATCCTAAATTTTGCGATGTCGAAAACCTGCTGGCCCACTCACTAATATATATATATATTTTTTCTTATTTTCTTCTTTTTATTATTTTTTCTTATTTTCTTCTTCTTATTATTTTTTCATATTTTATTTGTATTTCAAATTTGGTAAGGAATTTGGATGTACACCTGAGGCAAACATGTCTTTCTTGCTCTTTCTACCTTTTTACTTCATAGGACATCTTTTTCGAACAGTCGTCACAGTGGACACTCCTTCGTGCCTGGCCGGTGATGCCACGCCCGACGGGGTACCCCACTCATCCTTTTTATAAAGGACGCTGGGCCCGCTTCCCGGCTTGTATAATATAAAGGATCTTGTGTGTGTGTGGGGGGGGGGGTAGGAAACAGTTCAAGTAAGACAGAGAGAGGGGAT